TCTGCAGCGCGGGTTCGATCCTACCCAGCCAGGGAGAAACCCACATGGCGTAGCAGACCTCTCCTGTCCCACCCACTGCTCCCCTCAGCAGTGTATTTCGTCGGTCTGCCAGTTCTGCTACCCACTCTGTCTCCAGTGAATCTTCTCACCCTCCCGTGCATCTGGCCTGTACCCCGGTTCTTGTATAAAGATAAATATTAAGAAAAAAGAAATCCCATGATAAGGTAATATAAATAAATCCAAATGTGTCATTAATCACAATAATGTGGCTGATCAAAACGTGTGAGTTTAAAAATAGCTTTTAGGGCCTCCACAGTGGCGCAGCGCTTGAGCGCTGGGCTGCCAAGCTGCCCGCAGCCTCTGCAGTGCCAGTTTGATCCACAGCTGCCAGCGAGGGTCCCACATGCCGCAGACCTCTCCTGCGGCGCTCTCTGCTCCCCTCAGCAGTGTATTTCTTCAGTCTGCCTGTTCTGCTTCCCACTCTGGCTCTGGTGAATCCTCTCACCCTCCTGCGCTTCTGACTATATCCAGTGCTTGTATAAATAAATAAATAAATCTTTAAAAAAAAAAAACTTTTAGCTAAATTCTGTTCATGTAAGTTATACTTAAAACATAAAGGAATGAAAAGTGATGAGGCAAGATATGGTAGGCAAATATTAATCAACATTGATGTAGTTATTTTTATGTTTAGCAAAACATACTTTAGAGTAACAAATATTATTAGGGATAGAGATCATCATAACATATTGATAAGAGGATTAAGTCACTAGGAAGATATAACAATTCTAAATCTGCCTGCACCTAAATATATTTTCAAAATATATAAAACAAAAACTGACAAGATTATACGGAGAAACCAACAAATTTATCATAAGTGATAAATTTTAATATTCCTCTCCATGTTCATAAAGAACAAAAATTAACACTATGGAAGATTTGAAGAACACAATAATAAGAGTTAATACACCTAGAATTCTGTGCTCAATAATTACAGAGCATTTATTCTTTAAAAATGTATAGGTGGGGCCTCCCCTGGTGGCGCAGTGGTAGAGCGCTGGGCTGCAAAGCTGCCCGCAGCCTCTGCAGCACCAGTTCGATCCCCGGCTGCCGGTGAGGGTCCCACATGGCACAACAGACCTCTCCTGCCGTGCCCACTGCTCCCCTCAGCAGTGTATTTCGTCAGTCTGCCTGTTCTGTTCCCTGCTCTGGCTCTGGTGAATTCTCTCACCCTCCCGCACTTCTGACTGTACCCAATGCTTGTATAAATAAATAAATAAATCTTAAAAAAAAAAAAAGTATAGGTGGCTTATTTTAAGATGTGTGTATATGTGGTACATATACACCATGGAATATTACTCAGCATTCAAAAAAGTAAACACATGCAATTTGCAGCAACATGGATGGCGCTGGAAGGGATCATGCTCAGCGAAATAAGCCAGAAAGAAAAAGAAAAATACCGGATGGTCTCACTCACAGCAGGAATCTAGAAAACTTAAATAAGGGACCAGGAAAAAGAATAACTATAAGAAAGAAAATATCAAAATCAACAAACAACTATGAACCTGAGACACTCTATGGGGGGTGGGGGGTGGGGAAAGGAGGGCTTGGGGTCAAAATAAGGGGGTTGTAATTGTATGGGGAATATAAAAATAAAATTTAAATAGAAAAAAGAAAATTCCTATTAAGAAAAAAAAATGAATAGGTGGTGCAAGCGGTTGAGCTGCTGAGGAGCTGTCGGCAGCCTCTGCAGCGCGGATTTGATCTCCCGCCAGACCAGGGAGCTAACCCACATGGCGCATCAGACCTCTCCTGTCTCGCCCGCTGCTCCCCTTGGCAGTATTTTAGATCCGCCTGCCTGTTCTGTTCCCCGCTCTGTCTCTGGTGAATCCTCACACCCTCCCGCACCTCTGGCCTGTACCCCAGTTCTTGGATGCATACATAAATAAATCTAAAAAAATAAAAATATGTAATTACTCACAATGCAATAAAATTAGAATTCCCAGAAATAAGAGGTAATAAGGAGGGGCCTCCCTGGTGGCGCAGGGGGTGGAGCGCAGTGCTGTGAAGCTGTCTTTGGCCTTTGCAGTGGCGAGTTGGATCCGGCCAGCTGGCAGCAACCCACATGGTGCAGCAGAGCTCTCCTGTCTCGCCTGCTGCTCCTCTCAGCAGTGTATTCCCGCACATCTGCCTGTTCCGTTCCCCGCTCTCTCTAGTGAATCTTCTCACCACCCCGCGTCTCTGGCCTGTACCCCACTTCTGAAAAAAAAGGTAATAACGAAACTCTTGGAAATGAAAATAGGTTTAAAACCACTTTGTGCAATATCATTCCATTTGGGGAAAAAATATCCATGCTATGTATGAAAACAAAAAGCTTGATAAAAGGCACTTAAAAAGGTAAGCGTGGTTATTTATGGTTTGTTGGCTTACAGATATTTTTTTCGTTTTTTGCTTTATCCTTAAAGAGCTTTTTCCGTATTGTTAGTTTCCTGCTTGAAACATGTCACCATGTCTCTTTTTCTAATTAGAAAAACAAAATAAAACTATGAAATTTCTTTTTTTTAAAGATTTAGTTATTTATACAAGAACCGGGGTACAGGCCAGAGGTGCCGGAGGGTGAGGGAATTCACCAGAGACAGAGCAGGGAACAGAACAGGCAGACAGACCAAAATACACTCCTGAGGGGAGCAGCGAGCAAGGCAGGAGAGGTCTGCTGCGCTACGTGGGGTTCTCCCTGGCCAGCCTGGAATCCAACCCGCCCTGTAGAGGCTGCGGACAGCTTCACCGCGCGGCGCTCAACCCGCTGCACCACCGCGGAAGTTTCTTTTGGATAACGTGTAGACTAATAACTAGCCTGGTCTGTTTCCATTATTGCCTCCAATTACATTCTCTTCACCAAAGGATTTAGAATAAAATCCAAAATCCTAACTTTAGTCTACTAAATTCAACATTGCTCCAGCCTGTATTTCCAAACTTACTTCTAGTCACACTCCCCCAAACTCACTCTATTCCACACACACCGGTGTTCACTTCCTTAACTTCTCCAAGCTCTTTCAATCGTGAATCTTCACAATTGCTACCCTTTTGCACCTTACTGCTCTCTGCCCCTTAATACCCTCTTTGTGTGACTAAGTCCTAAGTATTTAAATTTCATCTGAAGTGTTAAATCCTTGGGGAAGTCTTTTCTGCCCCACCACTAGGTTTGGTTCTTCCCAAAGATATTCTCAAAGCATCCATTCTTTTCTTTCAAAGCAGTAACAATAAACTTGAAAAATATATATATATATATATTTTACTTCATTACTGTTCGTCTCCCTTGCTAAACTGCTTCATGAGGGCAGGGAGTAAATTTAGTTTGCTCATTGCTATATCCCCAGCACTAACATAGTGCAGGGCTTGGGATAAATACTCAGTGGATGTTGGTTGAAAAAAATGTATAGTGAGAAAATGAATGAATGACTGAATCCTCACAAAAGCTACTGGAGATTTTATAGAATCACAAAGAAAGGCAAAGAAATTCACAGAGAAGGCTAATGAAATTGCACGACAGATTTTAACTTCCACGTCTCCTGGTAATGATTAAGATTCATTGGAAAATGCTGATAAGATACATTTCCCACTGTGTCCACTTGTGTCCATTTTTTTTCTACATTTGTTTTAGTGGACTATTCCTCTTTCAAGAAAAAAAAAACAAACTGTGGATTAGCTGAAACAAAACAACAACAAACAACAACAACAAAGTTCCTTCTGAGGCTAAGGACAGTGAAGTAGGATGATTTGTGGAGGGATATAAATTACAGGATCGCATTTTATAGTCCTGAGGCTCTGCTTCATTACATAATTGATATGGTACTGCATAACCAAAACCCAATTCAAGTTGGCTTGGATATGCTCTATCTTCTCTTTCAGGGACAACTTGTATACAGTCAGCTTGAGTAATAATGGTCTTTGTAATTAGGACCAGTATACAGGAAAAAGGGTTACATTTTCCACTGATTCACGATGTTTTCTAGAAAAGAAAAATACTGGTTACAGCTTAGGCTTGCTCCAGAGTTTACACTTTAGGGTGTAATCTTAAATTCTTAAAATACAGTCTTTTTAAAAATGCTAGGAAAGAAAAGTAGGATTCTCTTTTGATCCTGTAACATCATGAACTTATTAAATTCTCAGTCACCAGCTTGCTTTCAGTTAATCGCACTCCCCCCTCGCCGTCTCTCCCCACAGAAAAAAGTCATGGTGGTAATTTAAAAGTCAAATTCTCTACAAGAGTTTAGAGCTTTAACAAACCACTTTTTTCAAAAATCTCCGTCTTTTCTTACGATTTGATCTAGTCACAAACTAAATGCTTGATAGTTAACTACAGAATTAAGTTTAGAAAATAGCTACTTGAATATTTAATCCCTTAATAATTCATGGAGAAGTGATAAATATCTTTTCAAAATTTACTCCCAGGTAGCTCCACAGTTCTACTATGATGCTTGAGGCCAAGTTACACAACTTTAAAATAGAATTTATTCAGAAATAATTCTGAAATAAACTTATGTATTAAAAACAGAAGAGGCAGAAGACATTGGCATAATTCATTTAAGTTTGCATGTCCAAATAAAAATAAAGCTAGGAAATGACAGAGAACGGTATTTATAAACATGCCACGTGTCTCCTTATATTCTTTTTAAATATCAAGGATTTCAACTACTAAATACAGACACAGCATCCAATCGACCTCGATACCTAAGCAACTACTGCTTTATAGTTGCGTACTATTTTTTGGGATTTGGGACAGCAGTAAAGGGATAGAGATTTCTAGAACACTCGAGCAAAAAACCCAAGTGCATTTTGGGAGAGGGCAAAAAAAAAAAAAGGGCAGCAGGCAGTGGGGGGAGGGGTTCGCTCTGTTCACTTCATGCAAATATTTTTGAGCAGTGTAGTTTCTGATTGGTGGAAAGCTTGTCGCGTGATGATTGGTGGGATTTCGAACCTGCGCACTATATCTTGAGAGAACTTTTTCACTTTTTTCACTCTCTCCGGCAGTGGACGGCTCTACCGCCTCAGGGTCTCCGCTTACCTCAGAGTCTCTGCTTACCTCAGGGTGACTGGGATTCCGGTCTTACCTTGTACCTTACCATCCTCAGCTTTCCTGTTCTGCTTGATTGTTCTTCAGATTCGGTATGGTTTTCATTTAGTTTTTTTTTTCTTTCATTTATCAGTCCCTCAGAGGCATTGGCAAAATATTTTTTGCCTCACTACATCTAAGCATTGAGCAAAGGACTGAGGAGGCTAGATAATACTGTGTGCTCGGGAGTATTTCAGATTTTGTGTTGGCTAGAGTAATAAGGTGGCAGTAACAGTGGAGTGACTAGAGTACCTCAGGGTGGAATAGGGATCACGGCTTTTTTAGCGCCTTCGCAGCGAAGCGATTTTGCCGCCCAGAAACAAGTGGCCATCGTGAGATATCGCGAGAACCCACTCAAACTGAGGTGTGGGGGTGGCGCCCTCAAACTGAAACTTTACTGAGGGGTGGTGATTTTAGGTTCCCCATGGCTGATTCTGGGTCTTTTAGCGCTAAGAACGAACCAATTTTTTTTTTTTTTTCGGTTTCCTGCCGCCTTCCTCACAGCCTTCTCCTGTGGATCAACCCCAGAGACCTCAATCTCCTCCGTGGTGTTGGGCTTGGTCTTGGCCTCCATTTTAGTCTTTCAGGATGGAGAGCAGCAGCGCCTCTAATGCCACCTCCAATGTCGAGTTTATTGTGGGAGGGAAATATAAACTGGTGCGGAAGATCGGGCGCGGCTCCTTCGGGGACATTTATCTAGCGATCAACATCACCAATGGCGAGGAACTGGCAGTGAAGCTAGAATCGCAGAAGGCCAAGCATCCCCAGTTGCTGTATGAGAGCCAGCTCTATAAGATTCTTCAAGGTGGTGTTGGCATCCCCCAAATACGTTGGTACGGTCAGGAAAAAGACTACAATGCGCTAGTCATGGATCTTCTTGGACCCAGTCTAGAAGATCTTTTCAATTACTGTTCAAGAAGGTTTACAATGAAAACTATACTAATGTTAGCTGACCAGATGATCAGTAGAATTGAATATGTGCATTCAAAAAATTTTATACATAGAGATATTAAACCAGATAACTTCCTGATGGGTATTGGGTGCCATTGTACTAAGTGTTTAGAATGTCCAATGGGGAAGAGGAAAAGAGAAATGGCTGCTGGTTCTTTACAGGGGGCATCTTTCTTAGGATTAAACCAATTATACCTTATTGATTTTGGTTTGGCCAAAAAGTATAGAGATAACAGGACCAGGAAACACATACCATACAGAGAAGATAAAAATTTTGCTGGCACTGCTAGATATGCTAGCATCAATGCACATCTTGGTATTGAGCAAAGTCGCAGAGATGACATGGAATCTTTAGGCTACCTTTTGATGTATTTTAATAGAGCCAGCCTGCCTTGGCAGGGACTAAAGGCTGCCACAAAGAAACAAAAATATGAAAAGATTAGTGAAAAGAAGATGGCCACTCCTGTTGAAGTCTTATGTAAGGGGTTCCCTGTAGAATTTAGCACGTATTTAAACTATTGTCGTGGACTGCGCTTTGAAGAAACCCCAGATTACATATATCTGAGACAGCTCTTCCGTATTCTTTTCAGAAAGCTGAACTACCATTATGACTACGTATTTGATTGGATAGTATTAAAGCAGAAAGCCTGTACACAGCAGGCAGCCTCTTCAACTGTGCAGGGTCCACCGCCCCAACCTCCTCCAGGTTTCTGTTAATGGTGGGAGGAATGGAAGTAGAACAGGTGATCCTAGCAAGATTTGTTCCTCCCCAAATCTTGAAGTTTTAGTTCAGATACACACATGCCAGAGGTTATTATAAAAATGGAATAATTTACTAGTATGGGGAAACAATATTTACTTGGTGTAAATAATTTAATTTCAGTATAAACTAGTTTTGTGCTTCATTAGTGATGCCGTGTCTTGAGCTGTAGGCACTGTAATTGTGAATATTAACTGAAATAGTGAAACATGGTTTCCTGTTGTCTATTGTATTTTTTCAAGTGGTTGACAAATTGGTGGAGAAATTGTGAGTGTGCCGATATTTTGTTAAAACCTTTTATTTTGAACTCTAAGAACTTATTTCAGAAGAATGGTGTCAATAGTCACAGCCACAGCTGTGATGGTTGTAAAAGCTCACACTTGTACATTCTCAGGGTTTATCCCTCCTTGGGGTTTTCAACTTGTTCACTTAAAAACATTCTTAAAATAGTTGGCTTTTTGTTTGCAAGCAAGCTAATATAGTCACAACTTAAGATTCCAGGGTTAGAGCATATATGTAAAACTCTTGATTGCTTACCTGTACTAGAAATGACAGCATCTAAAGTGAATACTTAAGAAAAACTTAGCAACTGTTAGATTATCTTTAGAATTCTGTATTAATTTTATATAATGTTCTTGGTGTTTTTAAAAAAGCGTATTTGTCACAGAAATTTAGTTAACATTTTACAACTGAACATGTGTGTATATTGCTTGGATACATGTAATCTCTGAATATCTATGAGATAATGGAATTTTGGTTTTCTTTGGAACAATGGAGCATGTATGTACTTCTGCTTGGCTACATGTAATCTCTGAAGATCTATGAGCTATGGAATTTTGGTTTTCTTTGGGACAACTGAACATGTATGTATGTTGCTTGTATACATGCAATCTCTGTGAATATCTAGGATATATGGAATTTTGTTTTTCTTTGTAACAACTGAACATAGGTACTTTTGCTTGGATATATGTAATCTCTGAAGATCTATAAGATATGGAATTTTGGTTTTCTTTGGACAGCTGAACATGTATGTATGTTACTTGGATACATGCAATCTCTGTGAATACCTAGGATATATGGAATTTTGTTTTTCTTTGTAACAACTGAACATAGGTACTTTTGCTTGGATATATGTAATCTCTGAAGATCTATAAGGTATGGAATTTTGCTTTTCTTTGAGACAGCTGAACATGTATGTATGTTACTTGGATACATGCAATCTCTGTGAATACCTAGGATATATGGAATTTTGTTTTTTTTTGTAACAACTGAACATAGGTACTTTTGCTTGGATATATGTAATCTCTGAAGATATATAAGATATGGAATTTTGCTTTTCTTTGGGACAGCTGAACATGTATGTATGTTACTTGGATACATGCAATCTCTGTAATTATCTATGAGATACGGAATTTTGTTTTTCTTTGGAGCAACTGAACATATATGTGTTTTTGCTTGGATACATCTAATCTCTGAAGATCTATAAGTTACGGAATTTTGTTTTTCTTTGGAAACGTGTACTTTTTGTTTACAAGTTTGTTAAAATTTAAAAACTGGAAAAAAAGTTATTCGAGTAAAACATGTTAGTGTTGTGCATCAAACTGTTTGTAATTCTTTGTTATTTGTATATGCCAGAACAATGGTGACTGCCTAAAGAGAACACTCTAAATCATTTGATCAAATCAATAAAAAGGCAACCAAATAAACTTTTCTGGTGATAAAAATGACCACTTGGCTATGTAGTTGATTGTATTGTTCTCTGTGCTCTCTGTGCCCAGTGGGTTACTTTGTGACCGTAAATTGAAAATAAGCCCATCATGAATTGAAAATATATTCAAGTTAAAAATGCATTTAGTGTACCTAACCTTCTGATACCATAGCTTAGCCTCACCTACCTTAAAGTCCTTAGAACACTTACATTAGCCTACAGTTGGGTAATTATCTTGAATTTCATCTCAGGAGGAACTGTCAACCTTTTCTTCTCATCAGAAGGAGGAGACACATTTGGGCTTTTTGTAAACATAATGGAATGTGAGAACACAAAAATCCCCTGAACTCTGACAACAAGGTAGACCTTAGCATATTGGTGTACCCTAGTGATCATGTGGCTGGCTGGGAGCTGGGGCTTGCTGCTGCCCAGCATGAGAGAGTATCACACTGCATCTCCTTAGCCAGGGAAAAGATCAAAATTGTGGAAATACAGTTTCTACTGAATGCATATCACTTTCCCACCATTGTAAAGTAGAAAAATCATAAGTAGGGGACTGTCTGTATAATTAATTGGCTTAAATTCTTCAGGTTACTGAAATAAGTGGACCAGCCATTACATAGTCATATTCAGCAATTTCAACATGTAATAATCTAACTTTAAATTCTACACAGTGATCACTAAAGAAAAATGGAATAATTTACTAGTATGAGGAAACAATATTTGCAACCAGAGTAATAGAAATGACTAAGTGGTCAAAATATCACTGTAACTGCATTTAGGCTGTTTCTGAAATGTGGCAGAATAATAGAAGACAGAAAACATTAACCAGTTTTTTTATGCTTTTATTTTTATCCATGCTATTCTACCACTTTCCCTCCTTATTCAATGAATTTCAGAAGAAATTCACAAAATCCAATTCTCTTTTCATAGTCATGGTAACTTCAAGAGTCTCAGTCTCTCGAATGTAGAAAGCTTTGGCATTGTTGCATTCCACAGGATGGGGAAGGGTTACCATCAGCTTCCTAAAATAAATAAATAAATACCTAGAATTGGCTTCCTAGAGTGATTATCAGGAGGATATTTTTAATAAGGATACAGAAAGCAAAATATACCATCACAATGATAGTAAGCAACAAAACAAAACAATATTTAGGCATTATAAATATTGGCTTAAAAATATGCCTAAGAACATGAGTAGTTTACCAGCTTTTTGGCCTTAAAATACAAGCAAAAAAATCCTTTTCTAAATTGATCTCATTCTGCATTATCTAAACACAGTCTCAGACATCAAAATTAAACTATTGTAGCTTTAAGTTGGTTGGATCTATCTGTTGCCAACCATATTTACGTGTACATGGAATGTGACTGACCGATAAAAATCTGAAAATTGGAATGGTTCTATTGTAATTTTCCTAATACAACTTGATGCTGAGTCTCTACTATAGGTGTTGGTATTGAAACTCAGTCTTAGGATGATTTCAATACGAGATCAATGAAAGTGCTTCTCTCTGCTTGCCTCCCGATCTTTCTACTATACATTGACAAATCCTCCCTGTGAGAGATAGCTGCATTTATTTTGCAGTTTATGGCTCAGTTGCTGGATAGCTGTATGCTTTAAATGCATTCCTGGGATGGCACATCCATAATTCTGTCATAGTGAAATGAATCTGAATTATGCACGGGGTCAGCACATGCTGATATCAGAAGAAAATTAAATGCGTGAAACACTTGTTACCTCACATTCTTGGTAAAGAACGTTTTGAGTGTCTATAAAAATGGACAGAAAAGCTCTTTTAGTAGGAGTAAGATTCAAATCAGTAAGGGAATCTGGTATTCTGAGAGGTATTTATTGAATACTTGTATAAAGAAAAGTATTTGAAAACAAATCCCTTGAAAATCAATTGCTTCTATACTCATTTGTAAATGAGTAAACAGAGCTCATTAAAAGTATTTATCACACTTCTCTGGAAGCTATATGAGAAATTTTCCATGACTCTTGTACCATTACAGATATTTAGGGTAGGAGAAACAGTTCCCGCCACCTGAAGTAATGAAATTGCACTGTAGCTCAGTGTAGCTTGTAATATTTGGCATCTTTTTAAAAAGTTGGTGCAAAAAATGCTTAGAGTACATCTTTTCAACATTGTTTACAATATACATTGTGCTAGAGTTACATTTCCTTTATCCCTTATTCTACAAATGATAACATATTCACTTTAAAAAGAAAGCAAAGCTCAGTGGTAGTAGATTCATCTCACTAAAAGACAACTATAAATCAGCTGAAGAAGGAGTTCCAATGATAATGGGCACTTCTCTGTCCAGAGAGAAATAAATTCAAAAGAGACAGTGGCCATTAGAATGATCCATCTATCCCTGCATTTCTGTCTTGTCCTCAGTAGTATGGTTTCACATACTAAAATTTTGAACAATATGAACTGAAACTTAAACTTATGTAGGCTCTTAGGAGAAGGGAAGTATTTTAGTCTTGTTTTACTATCTGATATCTGAATAAAGATTTAGAATTAGACAAAATAAAATTCTACAAATACTTTATCCTTGTACGGTTCATTGAAGGAAGGACTGTATTTTATTTTGGTGTTACCCCAGTGTCCAGAAGACTTTACAATGTTTGTTTAGTGAATAAATAAATGAGTGGAAAGCAAAAAAAATACACCACAAAATGATATTTGAATGACTACTGTAGATTAGTAATATAAATATGAATAAACATTATAAACCTAATCCCTTTGCCTTTACATTGATAAAATATTTGCTTTTTAAGAAGTTACAGTTTAGACGCTGGTCAAATGTTTATCCAGTGTTAATTTTTGTTAGAAATTATAAAATGCAGTCATACATGAAAAGAAAAACAAATGTTATCTTTACAGTGAACTCCAGTTTGCAGACTTATAAGCTGAGATAGTTTTAGTTGATGTTGCTCTTAAGAATTTTCAATGAAGGACAACCTTGGCCTGTGCATCCTCACATAATGCAGTTTTATTTTATGTAGTTAATAAATTATTTGATTTATATATCTGAATTAAAAACAGATGTGACCTTCTTGAGGTTTCCTATTGGAGATATATTGACTATTTTCAAAGAAAGTGCAGAAATAGCTACTGAGATGTAATTTACTATTCTATTTGGAATACTTTTTTTAAAGGTACCAATACCTTTAAATATCAAGTCAATTCTCAATCTGAATTAAAGGAGCACAGAAAAGGTGTGAACAATCTAAAGCAGCGCTCAACCAAAAAATAAGTTGTATTTGTCTCTTAACAATATAGGAATTCATTTATGATAGTCTTGAATTCACTAATGAAACCCTATATGAAAGTAAAAGTCAAGAGATTCTGGGAAATGATCCAATTTTCCCCATCTTTCCTTTCTATCAACTCCACACTGGGAATCTACATGCCAAAATAACTACTTGGGAAAAAATGAGCTATCTGGTAAACTGACTTATTTCTTTTGGTTGTTTAATGCTAAATATCTTGGCTTTATTGATAATTCTAATGCAGTTGACTATTATTTGACTAGTATTACAGTCAATTCAGTTAAAATGAATTCATTTGTTCTGCCGTATACATACATGAACAGAATGTCCGCTCATTTTCCTTGGATGGGCAAACATAGTGTTACAAACTAAGAAAGGAGGTTTGAATATCAATAAATTCAAACAACACACATTTCTGGTAATATTCAGACAGTAGCATGCTTCCAAAGAATGCTCTAGTACTTAGGAAAAATGATACGCATCTTAATTGCATCTTTTTCTATCTTAATTTTTCTGAAGAGACAGTACCTCTGTGCACTTAACATTTAACATATAAGTATAATATGATCCCAATCACCATCACCTAGAGCAGCCCACATTCTATATGGAAATGTATCTCTGTGTAAGCCTTTCATTTAGTGTGTTCTGATAGCTATCAGGAATGACAGCATAGGCAGAGCAGCTGCCTAAAGATTGATGAAAACAGTGAGAACAGCTAGGAAAACGGAAATTAACTCTATGGTGTGTAGATATATGTGTGCTTTTAACAAATGCACAAATATCATGGAAGATTGACTGTTTATTTAACCAACTTTCCTTGCAAAGGTTGCATGGAATGTGTATATAATATGCAATGGACAAATTCTAATAATCCTTGAGGTGAATGGTAGGAATGGTGAATGTAATTTTTCTAACATGAGATGATTTTTTATGAGAATACATTTTTGAAATTATATAAATAATGATAAAATGTTTTATATATATTCATCCATAGATCATTTTGGGTTAACTGCATCTACTGTAGAAATTCAGGTGAAGCTATGTGTGTACATTGAATTGTTTACATAGAAGTCTTTTACTTCTGTGTAAAAGGTAGAGGGATCTACCTTTTATTTTCTTGAAGCCTGAAGATTAACAAAAGAGAATTATAGTTACTGACAATGGAAGGAAGAGAATGTGCTAGCAGGTGACTGATCCCCACACCCAGTTTGAAATGTTTATGAGTTACAGAGAAAGAACCACAGCAATCACCCAAAATGATTATATAGCACCCAAAGTGCTATATATCCAGATGAAAAGTGAACAAAACAGTGATATATTGAGATATTTTGTCTAGCACATACCAGGTTTGATTGATTCCCTCTTTATATAGTTAGTTTTGAGATACAGAGCTGATTTTTCCAGGTTTTGTCATAAATACGTTATATAAGAATTTTTTGTACATGTTATATCTTGGGAACATGTCTTGTTCAAGCTATGTTGGAAAATATCAAAATGTTTAACTTATTCCCTGATAATCTATATTATTTTCATAATGTATTCACACAACCTGAGGATCTAGTGATAAATTAGCTTAGAATTTTTTTAAGTAATTGATGACAAGAATTTTTTGTTGATTTTTTAGGTAACTGTAATCAAATTTAACCTCAGAGACCCACAATATCCAAAAAATTAAAGATATTGCTTCTTTAAGCCATTACTAAATGAAAAAATGACATACAAGACATGAGGCATTTTTACCCCTAACTATTTGACAGATAAGCAAACTCTATCTAAATGTCAAGGACTGTATTTTGGTGGTACCAACCCACTCAAAAGGATGGATGCAAAGTAGAAAAGAATCCAGGTATTTCCAAGTGTATTTCTATTATGTAGATCAAATATATGAATGGTTAAATGATTTTTTTACCTTTTTTCAGATTTAGGGGTGATGAAAATAACTATGTATACTTTTAAAAAGAATATTGATTAAAGAGTTCATTAATATTTTAATACACTACTCTAGCTCTAATTTTTACTCACTTATTTGGAGTACGAAGGTCAAGGATCGTCTCCTGGATATCAATTTTAATTTCAGAAGGGTTTGTATTTGGCAGCTTAATTTTAACCTGAAAGAGAAATTGAGAAGAGAAATGCTGTTATCTCAAAGAACAGTTAATTTGAAGAGTATAAGAATATGTGGAGAAATAAGAACAAATATTTATTAAGTGCCAGCTAGCAATGTGCCAGCCTGTGTCTTTTTCTCATAACAATCTTGAGAAGCAAGGACTATTACTCCCATTTTGCTGATAGAGAATCTGAGACACAGAGATCCTTAGTGAACAGCCAAGGGCAACCATCTTTATTTTGACCAAGGTCTATCTGACTCTGCAGCTATATAGAAACACTTCGGTTACTCACCTGCAACCTTCCTTTTCTGAAGGTACATATGGGTGTATATGATAGAGTTGGGGAGCTTTAACTGCCTTTACGTTAGTGGAGACTTTGTACAAAAAATAGCTCTGGTGGTAGGTGCAGGTTAATGATTGAATCATGCAGTTTCCTGATATAAACTCCCATACTACATTTCCTAGAGAAGTGTAGAAGTCTAGAAAAGTTGCAGACATAACGAAAGAGAAATAACATAACCCCTTACACCTCAGATGGGACTATTTATTGGTTTAGTTATATTTCATTTAAAAAATCTCAATTCCCACATGACCCTAAAATACTGAATATATACCCAAGATCATCAAAAACAAACGTTCAAACAAAAATACATATATAATGTTTTTGTTCATAGCATCAGTATCTACAATGACCAAAAGGTACAGACAACCCAAATAGGCATCAGTGGATAAATGAATGAACAAAATGTGGCATATTCATAGAGTAGAATATTGCTCAACTATAAAACAAAAGCATGGTAGTGCTGAGACTTAACCTTTATGCCACCAGGGAGGCCGCTAGGCTTAACATTTTAATCAAAGTACTACCACCTAATTTATATTTTGAAAATTCATATATGCATAATTAGAGATGCTGTAGGTAAGATAAGTAGAACAGTCCTTCAAAAGGTAATTGTAGGCAAGTGAACATTCTAGTAGACAAAGAAAGTCTCATTTTTACTATAATAACATTCAGATCTGATAGTCGAGTTGAGATGTTCTTTAGTTGCAGTATGACTCATGTCACCTGGACTGTGGGATATAAATATTTGTTACTTTAGTCTGAAATGTTTAGCTCTTTCAAGGTAAAAGATGATTTCCCCAGGGTTGAAATGACATTTGAGGAAGAAGAAAAATTATGACATGAAATTTAGATACAATTTTTGCATAGAACTTCAAATGGGTTCTTGAAGTCATTTACAACCCTAGTGAAGAGTAATTAAGAAACAACTCACTAATTTTCCCTCTTGAGGAAATTAAAATTGTGTACTAAAATGATTCCAGAGGAGGGACAAGAGAAAGGACAAATTAAGCAGAATGTACACATTAATATCATAAGACAAAAGATTCAATGAGGAACCCTTAGCAGAAAAACTCCTCCTTAAAACATGAATCAGACTTCTTTGGAAATCATTTCAGTGAATACCTGGAAAACAAACATGGCTATTAATTGACTAGTAACTCATAGTACCTAAGACCTAACTGTCCCGACATTAGTAAATACAGTATCTCACTGACCAAATAAAGGAATTGGTATTCCTTTCTTCACAAAGGATAAAACTGGGAACTCAACTTTTGTAGTCAAACTTGAGTTTGAATTCTGGTTCTGTCACTTTTTAGTTATTTGTTATTAGTTATTAGTGCAAAACCAAAAACCACGTATACCTCCACCCTTAATTTCTGACTTGAAGCTGTAATAAACATTTATTACCACATAATTAGGGCTAATAATCTCATTGAATCTTTTATCTTATGATATTAATGTGTACATTCTGCTTAATTTGTCCCTTCTCTTGTCCCACCTCTGAAATCATTTTAGTACACAATTTTAATTTCCCCAAGTTAGGAACTGGGGAAGTAGCTTAGCTAGGTAGTTCTGGCGTAGGGTCTTATCATGAGGTTGTAGTCAAGATATTGACTGGGGCTACAGAAATCTGAAAGCATTACTGGGACTAGAGGATATGATCCCAGATGGCTCGCTCACATGGCTTTTGATAGGAGGCCTAAGTGCTTCACCACATGAAGACTGTTCCATAGAGCTTAGGACACAAGGACTTCTCCCCAGAACAAATCATCCAAAAAAGCAAGGCAGAAGCAATATCTTTTGGAAAAAACAGTCTTTAAATTTATACCCTTTCACTTAAGTAGTATCCTATTGGTTGTACAAGGCAGCCCTACTCATTATGAGAGGGGACTACATAAAGGGAAGACTATCAGAAGGTGAGAATCATTGGGGGCCATCTTGGAGGCTGGCTACCACAGTACCTGTCACTAACTTAAGTTCAAACCCGGACTTCTGACCTTGTGAATAGAAAACAATAGGGAAAAGTTCACTAATTTAAAGTTTGTGAGATCCTGTCTTCCTACTTTCAGCTTATCTTCAGGCAGGTAGTCAAAAGTATTCCCATAGTCTCTCTGGGAACTAATTCACTTTGAAGCTTTCCTGAAGGTAAGGAAAGGCAGGTCACATTGTTTACAGATTATTTTCATGGCCTTTCATATACTTTCCTCTATGTTTTGTAACAGAGCTGAATTAACATACCAAGGCCTTTGTGGGATTGGAGGGCGGGGCAGCATCATGAACATGGGCTTGCCAAAATGAACTTTAAATTTCCTCTTGTTCTTGTGATAGATTTAAATAAAGATCATATTCCTATAATCTGTTCAGTGATTAATACAAACTCTTAAGATCCTCAGACAAGTGTTTGTGATCATATTATAATATGCTTGAAATCTGAAATGGAAAGGCCAAATAGCATGGCCATGTTACTTGGTCAGCCTATGCTATTTACTGAAATTTCAGTGAAGCTTAAGATATACAGAAAGGTTTAGGCTGGTACTTTGGAAAATATTCTTATTTAACTTATGCGTTCTAGATATTGTGAAAATATTTTTATTTGACAGAAATACAGCCACTAACCCTAATATATTTGATTCTTAGAAAGGAAGTTAAGACTATTTGAGCTTCCATTTGAAGCTTAAGATATATAGAAGGATTTGGGCTAACACTTTAGAAGATAATCTTATTTAATTTATGGGTTATAGATATTGTAAACATATTTTTCTTACACAGAGATGCAGCAACCATCCCCAATATATTTGATTCTTAGCAAAAAAGTTATGACTATTTGAGTTTCCATTTGAAACAACATTAGGAAATTTTGATTTACAGAAAAGTTTGGGTAATTCTCATTCTGAATTACTTCAGTGCTTTAATTTCCTAATGTTTGACTATGGAAACACGTGTGAGATATTTTTACCACTGCAGCCACACTGAATATTTTGTAAAAACTCTCAAGGGCAAGAATATTTTGTAGGAAAATTAAAAAAAAAAAAGGTGTTGGATCCCTACTTTGAAATTATATAAATATTTGCCTCTGAAAAGAATAACACAGAGGTATGTGTTCTCCAAAACTAAGGCCCCAAACTAATAGATATCTATTTAAAGAAATGGATAAATTTTCTACAATGTTACCATTTTCAAACATTCCGGTACTACATTGCCAAGTCAGCCTTACAAGATCATAGAACCATGACTTTTCTCACGGGAACCAAGAGTAAGCTCAGTTCATTCTTGAGCCATAAGTCATCCACAGGACCTCCAGACCACTATGGGCACTTGCACTCACTCACAGCCTCACCACCACTAGCTGTCTTGAGAGTACCAGAACGAAATTCACTGTACTTTTATTTCTATTTGTCGGTAAACACAAGAGGCTTCAGACTCCCAAGACCTTTTTTATCACCTAATAAGTACCATCTGGATCTTCATATCTCCTATTTTGTTTCCATTTCCTACCCTCTTAGCATCTCATGAATCCTTTCATTAGGAACACTCTGGAACACAGAGTTCATCATATTATCTCTAAAGTCTCTTAATAAACATTCTCTTCAACCTCTTAGTCTAACTGAAATCTGGATCTCCCCTGGTGACACTGCTTCCCTTACAGTATTCTCAGTGGTACTTGTTTTGTTTTCCCAGTCCCCCTAATACCACGAGACCTGACCCTTTCCTCCAGCTAGCAAAAAAAGTCTCAAGGTTTCACACTGCACCACCATATCGTAATCATCTACCAATTCCTGGGTCATACTCCCACCCTAAGAATAGTAAGTTGTTCTCTACTGACATTTCTCACATTAACTTTTGTCTTAAATTTAAATATCTACTTAAGTAACCTTCCCAATACCCTAGCCTTATTTTCTCATTTCCTTCAAGTTTTTGACAATATTTCCTTCTCACTGAAGCCTTCTCTGACCATTATTCAAAAACACAGCCAATGCCAATAGCAGTATTCCTTGTTATTCTCCTTGCTCTTTTTCCTTTTATAGTCTTCATTCCCTTTGATTTGTTATCTTCCAGTGTACAATCAAATTTATATATTCATTTATCTCTCACACTAGAAAGCATGCTTCATGAGGGCAGTAATATTTGTGTTTTGCTGACATGACTAAATTAATGGATCTTTGTCATCAAATGAAAAGCATTCTTATGTCTCTCCTGTCCCACCCCCGCACCCCAAATCCCTAAATTCTGCCCCTCAACAACCATCTCCTCCCACTCCTCCCCTTCACTGTTAAACTTCCCCAAGAAACAATCCATGTTTCCTGTCTTCTCTTTTTCACTTCCTGGCTTTCTTCTACCCAGTTGCTGACTCCTGCCAGGCCATTAAAATTCCTCTTCCAAAGGTCACCAAAGACTTCTTAATTGACAATTCCAAAAGTTCTTTCTGTATCCTAATCTGACTTTATTTCTCTATAGCAGTAGATACTATTGATATTATGGTTTTCTCCCATCTCTAAATATTCTTTCTCAGTTCCTCTTTCTTTATCCATTCCTTAAATATTGGTATTTTCTAAGGCCAATCTGTGAATCTACTTTCATGGATTCAGAAAATTTTGCTAGTTTCATTTCAAGCATTCTAGACAATGTGATTTAGATATTTTGATGAAACTTCCTCAAA